TTTTTTTTTTTTTCAGAGATCCGTATGCGAGATCTAGGAGCGTAGTCAAAATCCGAAAAGGATAGGAAAAGCTGCAGTTCCTGCCGGGAGGTGGCTGCTGCTGACAAAATGCTATTACGTCAAACAATCCCGAGTACCACCGGTTTTATTCACACAGGAAAGTTAATCTCACAGATAACCAAAGCGCAAAAAAAAGCCAACCCATCGGTTGTGTCGATTTCTTGAAACGCTGGAAGGGGAAGTAGATTATGCAATGAGCGTGCAAGCTGGGGCGCTGAGATCAGGATCAGCTTGCATATACGACATTCCACCGGCAAGCTGCAATAACGAGCTCCGCACTGCGGGCAAAAAAATCCTCGTCCACTGGGTGATCGAACTTCGGACTGATGGCTGCAATCAGAATGAATTTCTGAATCACACGACAAAATCACTATTTTTTTTAGGGAAAAAATTATTCATTTATTTAATTTTGCTTCCTAAAGAAACCTGTGACCAAGTGATCTGTTCCTGACACGACATCACTAGGCGTCTGAAACGCTTCAAAACCCCTACGCAATTAATTCCGGGCACATTAATCCATACAGTAATGACAATTCCGTAGCACGGATGGTCTGGCAATAAGTGAAATAAAGGGGCCCAAGAACGGAATATTTGGCATACTTTCCGAAACAGTATGGCGTCTTCTCAAATTCGATTCCCGAATTAGTGTTTTCCCGTTGAAACTTCCATATGTCGCTACGTGAGACCCAGGTGTACGTGGAAATTGAATTTGAATTTGCAACTTCGCAAGTAGGCAGAGGAAGCATTCCCCTAAAGTTCAACCGTTTAGCTTTCGTGGTTCCCGAGTTAGTAATTTTTCTCGCCGAAACTATCACATATGAGACCTAGGAGCACGAGAAAGCTAAATTTGAATTTAAAGGTGGCACCCTGGCAGACAACGTTCACTTAAAATTTCAGCCTCCTAGCTTTACTAGTTCTTGAATTGAAAATGCAGAACAAAACGCACTCGGGGAAACACGTACACACACGCGCACACACACACACACGCACACACAGGCAGGAAACATGATAATATGTGTTTCGGATTGCTGTTACACGGCATAAAATGCACAATTACTAATTAATTTTCCAAAAAATAACAAACCACAAACAAAACGAAGGTGCATCGATTCGTTCATGTGCTGGAAAACCCATGCGGACAACACTGCTTTCAGCATTTCGACTGCTTGGCGGCGGATTCGTGTGCTCATTTAGGATCACCTCCAAATGAGTGTCATCCAGTGCTACACTATAACGTCCTAAATAGGTTAACATTTCTAATAATTCAACAACACAGATCAAAACTCACTTGAAATGCATCGGGATGTAGCACAGCAATCAGGCATAGGAAAAAAAAAAACCGTTAATCGTTCCATTTGAAGTAGCTGATGGCAATTTTAAGTTCGTGGTGAAGCAGAAGAATTGTAACGGGATCAGAATTTTACTGATGGATTCAAAACATCGAGTTAGCTGGTAATATAACGCTACATTTCCTAACCAACCCCATCAGCGTACTGACATTTAACTTCTGTCACGCCTTCGCCATTTAAGCTTTCAGGGTCAACCTGGTTGCTACAATCGGCTTATCGTAATAAACGCAAAAGTCTTTAAATATGAATACTAGAGGTACAAAATCTTTTTTCTTCCCTCTCTCTGAGAGGCTGAGGAAATCGGAAGTAGCCCGAACAATAGCAAACGAGAACAAAACAAAACAAACAAAAAATACGTGTCACCATTTCTCTCTTAAAACATAATGTTTTCCCCATATTAGCCTAACCGAGACGCAATAGTTTTTTTTTTTTTTTTAAA